TTTCTTTTTTGCCGATTAATTAAATTGATGCAATTTTACGATTACTTTTCAACAACTTCTATACACTTATTGAACAAAGTCCTGAAGGATCTTTACCGAACGGACGTACCCTCTTACACGCGCGTGCATAGGTAATCGTGCAATTGCCTTTAGTGTATCAAAATATACAATTAGCCATCGTAATATCTGGACTCTGCAATGTTAACAAAGAAAAAAAAAAAAAAAAACAACAAAAAAAATTAGAAACGAAAGAGAACATTCTAGTTAGTAGGTAGCATAAAAATATTAATTCTTCTTTTTCTATTATCACTTTGGTTGATTTACATTCACGTTATTACGACCCCTAACAACATGAGTTTCTAAGGGATTCATATTGAGTTTTATTTCATTTCTGCATTCTCACATAAAATTTAATAATCGTTAACAGAAAAATACTGATCTACACATAGCGAAAGTTCTTTAACATAAAATATGACTCATTGGCGTCAATTTTTAGTGTAGCGAAACACTTTGCAAACTGTGATGTAAATTAGCTGTCCGAAGGTACGAGACACACCTCTTTGTTGTGAAAATCTGCAATTAATCGCACAGAAAGGTGCAAAAGATATAATTTATGTAAATTAGATTTTCTTCACAGACTCAAGTGCAATATTACAAGATCGTTAATATTGAAGAATTTTTCACAAGCGATTCCGCTAAAATCGAGGAACTTAAGTATTACTCTCTATCACAGCTCCTGCCATGATAAACAAAACGGGGCCTTTAATTTAACAATACTCCTCGTCGATGAATAATGAATAAATTCGAACACTGACGAGTAGTCTCGGGCTGTATTTTGCTCAATCTCAATTAAGAGGCTCTACAGGCTCTACAGGCTCTATAGGCTCTACAGGCTCTACAAGCAAACTTTTAATAGTAATATAGTAAGAGAAACAAAGAAAGAAAAAAATGAGAGAGAGAGAGAGAGAGAGGAAGAGAGAGGAAGAGAGAGAAAGGGAGAGAGAGAGAGAGAGAGAGAGAGAGAGAGAGGGAGATATATATATATATATATATATATATAGAGAGAGAGAGAGAGAGAGAGAGAGGGAGATATATATATATATAGAGAGAGAGAGAGAGAGAGAGTGAGTGAGTGAGAAAGGTGCTCTGCACAGTCAAGAAAGACCAAGTGTAACAACCCCTTGTGCACGGCGTAAGGGTGGCCCCACCACGCATACCAAGGCACTCTCACCCCAATCCTTCAAAGGAAGGGGATAAACAAATAAGAGCTGGGACAATGGCCGGATAGACCAGGACTAGAAGCAGGGACACGGGTCAATTACACGGGAGGGCAGACCAAGGAGTGGAAACCCGTTATAGACCTCTTCGCGGAACTTCTACTCCCCCCCCCCCCCCCCCCCTCACTCACTCTCTCTCTCTCTCCCCACCCCACCCCACTCCACCTCGCCCCGCCAGTAGGCCCCGTTGCACTTGCGTCGCAATGCACCGCTCATGTACTGGGACCTTGTTTGTGGTGGGTGGGTGGGTGGGGGAAGTGCGTCGGCCCCGCTCTATCTCTTCCCTGACTTCGCCACCCCCCTCGTCCACGGGATACTTTATTTTATTATCCTACCTTAAGGGCTCGCGTCTCAAAATGCATTTTTCTCGGCGCATTTAACCGACCAAGTAAGTCCAATAGTACATACTTGGATATGGACGGTGGAAGAGGATCGCGAAGAAGCTGCCACGTGGCAGCTCGCAATGGTAATTCGATTTCTATGCTTGATTATCGATGAGGATGAGGTCGGCGAGGATCTACCGAGGTTCTACCGAGGATCTATCGCGCCGTGCACCTTGTAGTCTTCATGATCCAAGTTGAAAGACACGTACGGGATTTTCGATGTAATGCCTAATGCATTTCGTCAAATTGTTTTTAAATTAACCGAGCTATCGAAGGTTAACGACCTTATTAAATATACGATCTCGGTATGTTGATTTCGCGCTACCTGTGTCCTGATAAAACGTTCGATTCAATTTTAGTTATGAAGCTCGGCTTCGTTGTTTAATATTTATTTTTTCGATACTGAATTTGGCTGGACTATTTGCTACTAAGTCTGTTAAAAAAAAAAACCAAATGAACGTCCGAATCGAAGGCGTTTATACTTGGAATTTCCGTGCATTTTCGAGAATTTAATTTTGTAATTATTTAGTTATAATTGATAGACTAGATGACACGGTGACTGTAATATTATAAATTGAAATGTTTAAAATGTGCTTAAGCTTATTAGAGGAATGGAGATTTGTAAAAATTAAATTATTTTAATGTTATTCTTTGCATTCTGCATACATAAATAAAATTTTTTTTCAGTTAATTCTTTCTTTATTCTGTCTGTTCGTTTTTCGCCTCTCGCTTATCCACGTATATTTACTTGATTCCGTCGATTATTTATCGTGACAGTTTTACGCCGATAAACTCGATTCGTTGTTCCTTTATTTTAATTTTCCCTTCTTGGGCATACGGCCGACGAGCATAATAAAGATATCCAATTTCATTTTCGTTTATTATTAATTATGTTTTTATAAGAAGTCTAAGCTATCTTTAACAATTCCGCTAATTTAAAGTATTTTATTATTTTCAATTGAAATTACTTTTTTACTGCGTATTTACTTATGTATATATATATATATATATATAGTAATTTGTTGTTTAGCAAACTTTTAATTGAATGAAAAACTAAACGATATATATTGAAATACATTTCATTAACATAATTAATTCTTAGCATTTTATATTTGACGACTTAATTAATTTACTCTACTTTCACTTCGATCCTTGTTACTTAATTATAATTCTACAATTGCTATCTTTAATGCGTAAAAAGGTCTTTAAGCGACTAGTCAATTATTCGTTTTTTATTCGATTTTCGACACTTGATTAAATATTTGATGGCTCGCGAAAGCGATGAATAGCAAATGTCAATGTGAACATTTGGTATAAAAAACAAAAAATAAAAAAAAAACAAAAAAAAAATTGAACCGTTCACCTCCTCGTGGTAATCGAATATTCTGAAAGTATCAACCAAGCCAATTGGTAAAATTCGCGAAGTAATGAAAAAATTTGCCGACTTTTCGCGAACGATATGCTTCGATTGGCTCCTTTGCATGGAGTTTGACACGAGAGGAGAGAAAATCATTTTTTTACAAAAAAAAAGAGCTGAGATAACGTTTCTCGCTTCGATTTCTCCTTACTCCGAAGTATGCAAAATAATCTGAAAACTTATGAAATTAGTTTCATGCCAGTATAGCCTCGTTCTTATACATCATTGAGAAAGCTTTGCGTAATTTAATTTGGTAGTTTTATTTGTATATGACAATTTAAATGTATTGAAAAAATACTTTTTAACGCTCTTATTAAGCGAGGCGTACATATGAAAACTGCATTTATTTACTTATGTGTTACCAAGTGTCATAAGCAATATGAAAAAAAAATCTCTTCAACGATTTCTCTTTATAAATATCGTATCGTATCCAATGAATTTTAAATATTGTTAAAAATTATGCTCATATTCATAATTTAAAAAGCGAAAATTTCCAACTAATCAAAACGATATAGTAATAGCTAATTATGCAAATAAATAAAGGAAGTATAAACTTATAAACTTTAACGTTCTCGTTAAAATGTTGTCCCGAGTTTAAAGTCTCTGGCATAATATAGAATTGATATAAAATTCTTTTATTAAGACGAAAAAATCGTTACCTTAACAATTTAATTGAATAATAAATTAAGATGTTGTTTTCGTAGT